ACATACCCTCCGCCAGTAGCAGTGACACTCTGTCCTCCGTGAGGCTGCACTCGACTCGACTGTACGTAGCTTGCTTGACGAATTCAACGAACATTAAGTCCAGTATTGCAATGGTGGTTCGTGATATAACTGGGTTAATCAATTGTAAATATCGTACCCGGGAGACAGTGTTGCAGAAGCTATTTTGCTGTGCCCACCTTTATAATATGTACTAATGGGAAAGCAATAAAGATATGGAGTAGTTATTGAGCAAGATCTAAATTTGTCAACGTTTGCTTGGTTGGGCAGTAATTGCCGACCGACCATTGATATCGCAGTAGATTTACTATATTTATTCTTTCAGCCGTGACCCGCAGGGTTTTGTGAAAAAATATATATGTCGGAGGAAGCTGGGAGTTGATTGTTACTTGCATTGCAGTTGATTGTTACGCACATTCATTTTTGTTTGTGTTATATTCACTTTTTAAAATGCTTAAATTAATTTAAATTCATTTGTTACATTTCAGTCTTTATTTAATTTTTATTATAATTTTAAAACTAGAATTTGACTTCCTGTGTAATGTAATGACCAATCAGAGCAGAGCACTCGCCTCGAGCGGGGTCGAGGCGCCATCTTACGTATAAAAAGGTGAACAGTTTTTGGCGGGAACAGAGAGCTTTAGTAAATCGGTCGAGTTGGATCGTTTATGTAATAACTGTAAGATTGGTGCCCTGAACCCGCTGCTCAGTCCTAATTATCGACTTTCTTTTCTACAAAACTATTACCATCTAAATTAAAATAGTGTTTATTGTGTTTTGTGCTCGCATTCTACCCTCATGACGCCCACTAAACCTGCAACCACTAATGACAATGTCAGCGATGACAATGCTTCTCCGACATATATTTAGACAAAAACAATTTTCACTTTTCAGTGTGCTTGACGGCCAAATTGCAGAACTTGGGGTTTTGAAAATTCTAGAGCGATTGTGAAGAACTGCTTGCCCAACGCGTGTGATCGAGCGAGGAACTCCAAGGTAACGATCTTTTCGAACAGTTCTACAATCTGGCTGAATGTGGCAAACTTAAAATCTCATGAAGCTGTCATTGGCCCATAGTGTTGCAAGCTTCATCTCCTTGTATGTAGATATACCGATTAATGGAACGACATGTGCAGTTCTGAACATTGACCCCTTATCCTAAATCTGTTCGGAAACAATTCCTCAGTATCTCCCTGGACCATGCATGGAGATTTGTATATTTTATGGTCTGTATCGAACGCGAAGGTGTTTGATCTGCAAGTCACAGAGCCAAGCATTTTTTGTGAAGGGACAATCATCAAATGACTTCTCCCCCCCAGGGTGAGGGGAGAGGAGTGTCATACTCTTACTGATTATAAACCTTCACGTTCTTACTCCTGATTTAGACCAGGGCCGCGATACCTCATTGCGGTTACCCCGCAACCCGGGCTAAATATCAGCCCTATAGGGTCCCGTCTGTAGTGGTCTATTGGCTCTTTGATACAGCATAGCTACTAGTGTGAGTGGGAACAAGTAAATAAAACTCTCGAACATTAATTAATAATATTTATTTCAATAATTAATTAATTACCGCAGTATATTCTAGCACCATCCCGCCCCGCGTCGCTCTGCACACACATTTACACTACACTTGGAAACAAAAACAAAACAATGATTGCTCATTACAACTATATCGCTGCACGTGTTTCACTCTGGGAGGGAGAGGTGCGAGTACTCTTCCCTCGGTAGTACAACACAAAATGTCACTGGGACACAGTTAGCTCCGGGATTGAGAGGAAGACATCTTCGTTACAGTAATTATGTGATAGGTCGGCAAACGAGCAGACGGATTACCTGATGGTAAGCAATCAGCGTCGCCGACTTTTGGGGATTAGGTTTTGATTTGCTCGACTACAGTTGTAGAGACAGCAGATCAAGCTATACTGCGTGCAAGGATCTCTCCAGCGTCAAGCGATGACGTAATGTGATGACGTCATCGTTTCTGACAAGCTCAGGGATGTACTAGTGATAGTTCTAATGTACTTGGGATCATTTCATCTGAAGGGGGAAATGTCTCTATATGACTTCCCTCGACGTGAGTGAGGCGAGAGTGAGTGTCAGACTGTCACTGACTAAACACCATCTCTGTTAGTCTGATGGGTGTTTGAGTGTACTTACACTTGCTACTTTGTTATCAATAGTATGGAAATAAAGTATAGCTTCACCTGCTGGCGTCTTTAACTCACTGAGACTTCATTTGACAAAGTAAATACATTACATTATAGCTGTGGTACAATATATATATGTATAACGGCGTCGTGACGTCACGGCCGCGACGCGGGGCACGCTCTCAAGCAAACTATGTTACATACACTATACATTCATACATGTATAGGCAGACTGGTGATTAGTGACTTATATTTAAACACGTCATTGTAGTCATTATAACAAACAACTTTTTCAAAGAAACTTTTTTTTATTGGTTTTATTTTAATTAGGTACTGGAGCAAAATTACTGTGCAAAGTTTACCTAAACGAGGTCGCGCAGTGCCTCGCCGCTAACAGCTGATCATGAGTTTGTTATAAGTAGCAATGAAAATAAAACTAATTAGTATAGAACAATGGTATCTATGGGAAACAGAATAAACTTGCACGGTTCTCGCACATTATATTATTTTTCACATTGTCTGGACTTGAAAAGAGACTGACCTCTGAGTTTGTTTCGGCATTTCTTCTCAGAGTAGTCAGATAGGCTTCATCTAGTTTTTTACATATAAATTGACGTGTAAAAGTGCTGTTTTATTGCCTATTTACAAAAATAAATTGATGACGTGTTTAAATATCAGTCGCTAATCACCAGTCTGCCCACACACGTGTCGGGGAGACAGTCGCAGCCAGTCTGTCGGCGCTAGTGGCCCACACCTCGCGTCCAGTGCTTCAGTAACACCTAGACGCGAGCTTTATCATTCTGACGTACTACGCAACTGTACTTGGATAAAGCGGTATGACGTCACACCGTGTTTCAAATACAATCCTACGGAAGTATTCGGTTGTGTGAGGAAAGTAAAGATATCATTCGAATTATACTTTATTGAGTAGCTAGATTACACCATTTGTCTTATAACAGCAAGATGATGAGATTTTTATATAGGTTTCTTTCGTCGTGAATCGAAATCGTTCGTAACTGGGCTCCTGTTAGGTTCGAAATTAGTCGAGAAAGTCTGTAAAATAATTCAGCTTGTCTCATGTTAGAAATAAATGTAATTTACTCTGTACAATATTATTATTTATATATAAGTTAATACAACTGTCTCCCCGCCGATGAGTTTCGACATTGTAGCCACTAGATGTCGCTAGTTACACAATTACAAGTCAATGGCTTGTGACTCTTGAAAATGGGAGGAGCCTGCACAGAGGAGGGACTCAGTGACTCGTTCCGAGTTATATGTAATTTGTTAGTGTATATAGACACCACTGACATACGGGGAAGGAAAACATCGCGATGAATATTTTGTCAAAGAGTGAAGCGTGGTGATTAATGCTCAAACCTTCTCCGTGTGAGGGGTTTGACTATACTAGTACTGAGTCCCCGGCTCTGTCTGCAGGTGCGAGCGTGAAGATACAGAGAGACAAGTTAGTTAGCAATATGAGTAATAATTACATCTGTTATAGATCTACAACCCCTCTATGTAGAGATATGTGAGTTGGAGATAGACAGGTCATTGACACTAGCTTACAGTGAGAGTTTTGTACTATTTCATCTAAAAGGGGCGTGGTTTAGGTCAGAAGAGGCGGAATCATAATTCCCTTTTCTCTTTTTTATTGAACAACTATTCGTGGATCACACAAAGAGTTGTTTAGTCCGCGCTCGCTGCCGCTTGTGCTACGACCGCAGCCTTAGTATTGATAGAATCGACTCAACGTAAAACAATAGCTGGATAACGTCGACTGCGATGTCAGAGTAATTTGAACTCTACGTGTATTGCCAATAAGGATGGCAGTCACATAGTACGCACGTGTCGAAGGCTGTAAGGAGTTTGAGCAACAGTAGCCGCGAGGAACATTCCTCGCAGCTCGTGTGTGTACGGACGATGCTCAGACATGTGTTGCGCTACTTCCATGTACAGACAGACATTGTTCACGCCGCTTTATATACTTACTGTCTGTCTATACATCTGTTACTGAGATATAGTTTGGTCACACACTCCGTACCGAATGTCGTTACATAGAGATAGGGGAACTAGCTGACGGATCGTCTGATGGTGGGGTCTTTTGTGGATAGGGAGATTGGGAATTGGGGGTATGTGCTGAGAATTGGAGATAAGGGGTGGTTACTCGGTGAAGGATTGGGGATATGGGGTGACTGATTCGGTGAAGGATTGGGGATAAGGGGTGGTTGTTTCGGGGATGAATCCAGGATGGAAATCACAGACGATGGGAGAAAAGAATGGTATGGATTCCACTATCCTCACACGGTCGTGAAACATGCTGTGGTAGTGTCTATAATGTAGATATCTCTAGGCAAATCTGGAGATATGTCAGTGAGATCGCGCAGCGTCCCTCGGTCAATGTATAAATAACGAAACCAACGAATATTTACAAGATCATGTAAAAATGATACAAACTATATATAACGGGCGCGTCATTGTAATAAACTTTAATTAATACATTTCCCATTCAAACACTTTTATGTACAAAAATAATTTGAAAATTTGCGGCTTTTCGCTGTTTCTGATTGTGTATCGGAAATAATTACAATTAAATATTATAATATTCGAGATATAGTCAATGTGTGTGTGGGGGGTCAACTAGTTCACTATAATGATAACAGATGGCGTTAGTTTGTTCACAATATTAATTTGCCTAGTTACGTGTGGGAGAGCCATGCTCCGGCACGACCGGAGTGATACCACGGCCTCACAGAAATAAGGCGTGACATAATAATTAGAATTTTTACAGGATAAGGAGAAAGGTGAAAAACAATGCTGTAGCTGTTTCACGCCGGTTGTCTGTGAGACCGTGATATCACGCCGGAGCATGGCTCTCCCACACACAAACACAGAATGTATATCCCCTGGTCCACCTCGCAGCATCCGAGCTCTGCATGAGAGACCGTACATTATCTGTGCTGCCATCTGTGGACACAGCGGAGCACTACACGTTACATAGAGATGATGTAGATGAAGAATAACGAGTCTTAGTAGTATAGCAATAAGGGCGAGAGTCACAGTGCTACAGTCGATTCCTTATGTCGTCCTCAGAGGTCCGTCTCGGAGGCCTGCGCGTCGAGCCAGTGCCGCGGCCGCGACCTCCGGCTGCGGCGGGAGGAGGAGGTCTGCAACGGAAGAGTGGTTGAGCAAGGCGGGAGTCGTAGTGTGGTTGAGCAAGGGTGCAACGGGCCGGGTACCTTATGCCCCGCGTGCAGCGCCTGCAAGGCGTCGTGCAGCGCGACGGCGTCCTCCATCTCCCTGGCGCTGCAGCCGCGGCCCGCGGCGGCCAGCTCGGCGTCGTCCACGTCGTGGTACGAGAACAGCTTCGGGCCCGGCTGCGTGGCGCGCAGGGACACCGTGTCCGCCTGGGGACGGAGTGCTCCAGTCACATGGGGTCGGCGTCAATACGCTTCCGAGGACGCGGAGCCTACCTTGAGCCTGGCGGCGTGAGCCCGGAGCCTGGCCTCGCAGTGCGGCCCCCAGCGCGCGGCGGGCGCCGGCGCCTGCAGCTGCTGCAGCCAGGGGCCCGGCGACAGCAGGGGCTGCCCCACCGCCCCGGGCTCCGACTCCAGCCGCGCCAGCAGCTGGAGCGCTACTTGCTCCGTCGCGGCGCGCTGCAAGACCAATCCTTCGCTCTACAATACTGCTACAGATGGGAGGAGGCGCTCAGTCCCTACCTGCTGCGACTGCGTGGCGGCGGCGGTCTCTGCGAGCGCGAGCAGGACGTCGTACGTCTCCAGCGCGCGGTCGGCGGCCCGCAGCGCGCCGCATAGCGACACCGACGTCGACTCCGCCACGGCGCACGCGCAGTACAACCTGCGACACTTTCTGCTTAACAATCTATCCACTTTCCCCCTTACCCATTACCAATACTCTACCCACTTTTCTTCATTCCCCTCAACAAACTATTCAAATTCCCCTTTTCACTTTACCCCTCAACACTACCCTCTTTCCTTCTTTCCATTCAAACACTTCCATCGTTTCGACACTATCCACTTTTGTTTCTCAACAATATATTCACTTTTCCACTTTCGCTTCAGCACTCTATTCACTTTCTTCCTTTCCCCTCAAGACTGTCAACTTTCCACCTTTCTCGTCAACACTACCCACTTTCGACTTTTCCATTCAAACATTACCATCCATCCACTTTTTCTCCTTTCCCTTTTACACCCTATTCTCTTACCCCTTTATTTCAACATTCTGTCCTCTTTTCCCCTTTACCCTTAACACTATCAGCTTTCCCACTTTCCCCTCAAGACTCTATCAACTTTTCACCTTACCTTTTTGAGTTTTGCCTTACCTGCTGAATTTATTTACAAACATGGCTCAAGGAAAGAGCTCACAGCTACAGTTTTCCATAACTCACGGCAGAAGAAACAAAACAAATTGTAATACATTAATATTTTTTTACGCCCACTAACAAAAAAACCGCGTATACCGGACGATAAGGTATTAAGCCAACAAGCTGAAAGACACTCAACTTGTACCCACAAACCAACGGTGGCGCTAATGGCGATGAAATGGTACGATATCGAAGATTTTGTATTAGTTCAGATTTTTTTCGATAGATGGCAGTTTTTCCATTTTTCAAAATTATGAATTCAAAATACGATCAGCTGTTTAATATCTGTGATACTTTGTTTCGAGTTATAGAATCTCGGTAATAAATGGTTAAATAGACATTTAGAACTCTAATGGCGCAAACAATAAAAGAAGAAAAATGGATCTGCGAAACTAAATATTAAAATTCACTCAGACATAATCAACGAAGCAATTACTCACGGAAAGGAGCCAAACTAGCCTAGCCAACTGGAATCGCGACTTTCGATAATCATAATTACTACAAACATGCAAACATATTTTCTACGGTACCTTTCTCCTACTCTACTCTCTCTCCTTTGTTCCATTCAACACTCCACTCTCTTTCCTCCCTTCTGTTCAATACTTTACCCTCTTTCCCCTTTCCCCTCTACACTATCCTTTTTCCCCTTATCTCTAAACACTACACGCGTTCCCCCTTTCCAACACTACCATCTTTTCTTCCTTCCATTCAACACCCTACCCTCTTTAACTTTTTCCCCCATCACTGCCCTAACCCCTCTCTATACCTCCATACTTTACAAAAAGTGAAGTCTATATTAATTTCTGAGAGTAATGTTACTTTCAATGTCTTCTCTTATGCAATAGAACGGGGAATATTTTCGTACCAAGTTCGAGTATGTATATACAAGGTGGGGTTAATATTTTGAGATCTTAAAAATAGGGTTCACACGAGTCATTTACCTTAATATCCATAACAAACAGATTATTTTTTCTGGAGATTGCAGTAGGTATAAATTCAAAGTATTATATCGTGGAACTCAAGCTATGAACTATCGGAGAATCTCACTCAACGTCTTCCATTAAGCAGTAACATGTAGTATTTTTATATAAACCTATGTTATATGTTATAGGTTTATATAAACATACCTTTATGTATGTTTATATAAACCTATGTTATACTACTCTATTTCGCTTGCTTCTTGCATCTACTACTGGATTCTCTGCATCACCCAAAGGTCGACTGGTAGAGAATGCTCAATGCATTAAGTCCGCCTTATGTACATACGAATTGTGCATGAAGTATAAATAAATAAATAAATAAATAAATGTAGGACAAGTTCTCACTTCTTTTAAACTTTCACGTTTCATCTTATCAACATTATATTTACGCGGGTATTAACGCGGAAAATTATAATCAGAATTATAGTCACAAGCAGACTCTCGAGTCTGCTTGTGACCACGACCTGTGCAACCGGGTCGAAACGTCAAGCCTACCAAGGTATTCAAATTATAATTTTCCGCGTTAATACCCGCGTAAATATAATGTTGATAAGTTCTCCGTTCACGTGTAGTAGTGTCAACATACCTGTGCGCGGTGTCGGCGGCGCGCGCCAACGCGCACTGCAGGACGCGCCGCTCCGCGCGAAGTCGCGCGCAACGTCCCGCCCACGGACAGCCTTCTGTCGGGGACAGGAATACTAGCGAGCGGTACTTCATACTTATACAGGGTGTAAAAAGACACTTAACGAAGCCGAAAGCCACGTATTCTACCCATTATTTGGATTATTTTTTTCTTTAAGACCATAGCTGGGACTCCACGCGTTCTCGAGATATTGAAGGTCAAAGATGCATTTTTATTTTTTATTTTTTTGAGCCATCGAATTCTAAGCATTATTACAAAACTTTTTTCCAAACAAACATTACCTGAATTTTCGATTTTTCTAAATAAATTACGCATTTGAAATAAATAAATGCAGACCCGCACAAAAAACACCGTGCATCTCAGTAGGATTTTTATTTTACAGAAATGTTTTGTTGTTTCGAAGTAAAACGTCGACCTACGTACTTATCACAGCGTTTTAATGCTAAGCTGTGAACCTACGCACACAATGACACGAAGCCCGTTTGCTTTACATTGCGCACAATACAATTATTATTTTTTTTGATACCTAAACATAAAAGTCGTTTCCCAGCGATAATTTTAGCGTAAAGCTACATAGTTAGAACTGCAGTATGCGTAGTTAACGGCTTCGTTAAGTGTCTTTTTACAACCTGTTTACTATAATAATGTCAATGGTACACAATAGGATACAAAACACAGACTAAACCTATTGAAAATAACGAATAACTCAGATGAATCAACTGAGAACAGATCTACTAGTTTAATTTAGCTGAGAGACATCGCCGCAACGGGACCATCAAATTTTCAGCCTGTAAGTGCCCACTGCTGAGCAAAGGCCTCTTTTCACACGGCGAAGGTTTGAGCATTAATCACCACGCTTGGTCAATGCGGATTGGCGATTTCAAACTTTTATAATTAGAAATTATAAGTCCAGGTTTCAACACGATGTTCACTATTTCTTTATGTTTCTTAAATCTGGGAAAAAGCTATCAACATTTTTTTCATTTTTTCACATTGATAACTAGCGACCCGTCTCTTGATGGATGTTATTATACATATAAACCTTCCTCTTCAAACACTCTGTCTATTAAAAAACCGCATCAAAATCCGTTGCGTAGTTTTAAAGATTTAAGCGTACATAGGGATATAGGGGACAGAAAAAGCGACTTTGTAGTGATTAAAGTTAAGTCTATAAAAGACCTACAGACTCTAACAGACGTTCCCCAAAGATCTTAAGTCGACCTAAACTTGATATCTTTAAACGCCTTCGCTTCTCCATAGGAATCTACACTTTGGAACGAGCAAATAAATAGCTTTACTAGAGGACTGACCGACAGACTGACACTTTATATCTTTAAGCTTTGTGAGACGTTCAAAAATTTCTGTAATCAAATAAGACCAATTTGATTTTGACTTTGATATTAAAACAGTGTATTAAGTATATCCTCAGCCGGGGTTGCGGGGTAAGCGCAATGAGGCCCAGAGCAGGAGAAGGATCGGGGGGGTTTTTAGTCAGTAAGAGTCTGACACTCCCTCCCGCCCCGCCCTGGGCGGGAGAAGTGATTTGATGAATTTCCCCTCACAAAAAAAAAAGTATATCCTGTATGACCCAAGGGATGTTATGGATATGAATACGAATATTGGGATGATTATTATTATAGATAATCTATTTGTTTCGGATAACAAAATTTTAAGGAATTTCAAAAGTAAAATACAAACACAATATGACTCAATAAACCCCCCCTTCCCCCCAATCCGTTATTATCCGAAACTTTTCTGTTATGGTTACGGATTGCTTTTTTTATATCAGATATCCGATAGTTTCGGTTATGTCGGCGGAGGTCCCTGCATACGTACCCTGTTCCTGCGCGGCGAGCAATGCCTCCCTGAGGTCAGCGTGTGCACATACATCGACCGACAGTCTGTCCGCACTCCACCACTGGAACAATACACACATTCATTGATTCGGCACGACCGGAGTGATACCACGGCCTCGCAGTACACTGGCGTGAAACAACCACAGCGTTGTGCGTCGCCGTGTGAGTGAGGGCAGTGGAATCCATACCATTCCTTACTACCGTTGTCCCTGATTACCATCTCAAATCCATCCTCGAATCAGCCACCCCTTATCCCCAATCTTTCCCCGACGAATCAACCAACCCTTATCCTCAATCCTTCCCCGAATCAATCAAACCTTATTCCCAATCCTTCCCCTAAATCTGTCATCCCTTATCCCCAATCCTTCTCCTAAATCAGCCACCCCTTATCACCAATCCATCCTCCAAATCAGCCACCGATTAATTCTCAATCCTTTCCCTAAATCAGCCACCTCTTATCCCCAATCGTTCCACTAAATCAACCATCCCTTATCCCTGATCCTTCTCCTAAATCAGCCATTACTTATCCCAATTCTTTCACCGAATCACCCAACTCTTATCTCCAATCCTTACCCTAAATCAGCAACCTCTTATCCCAAATCCTTACCCAACTCAGACACTTCTTATACCCAATCCTTCCCCAACTCACCCAGGCCTTATCCCCAATCCTCCTTTTATCCCCCAATCCTTAATCTCCAACTCCGCAAAAGACCTTACAAATCAAAAGGTCGGCAACGCACTCGAATTTCTCTGGTGTCCATTGGCGTCGCTAATTGCTTACCATCAGGTCATCCTTCTGCTTATTAATCTCCCAACTTCCTTAAGATTTGCATATCTTGGTCTTCCGGCGGCGGTATTCCCGAACCGATACGACCTACAATACAAACCTTCGAGAACCGAGCGTACTCCTTCTAAAAAGGCCGGCAACGCTTGCCTGTGACTCCTCTGGTGCTTCAGAAGTCCATGGGCGGCGCCGATCGCTTACCATCAGTCAATCCTTTAGATTATAAGTCTCCCTTAATCTATACTAACATTATAAAGAGGTAAAATTTGTAAGTTTGTATGTAGGGGGTAATCTTTGGAACCGCTGGTCGGATTGCCAAAATTCTTTCACTGATAGATAGCTACAATGTTCCTGAGCGCTATAGGATATAAAACGTCACGCTACGATCAAATGGAGCCGAGCAGCGAGTGCTAAAATATACTTACGTCGTCATGCTGTGGGCTGCTGGAGTCTGACTCCTCAGTCTTCCGTAGCTTCACACGGGAAGCCATTTTAGCTTGGCGCGCCTCGCACCGACCTGCAACGTCATATTGTATTTTAGAATTAATTGGTTAAGGTGTATTTTAGCTTGGCATTTGTATGAAATTAATGTGAGCCATGTTTCGGCACGACTGGGTCGGGCTGGACCGGAGTGATAGCAGACGGATTAACTGATGGTAAGCAATCAGCGCCGCCCATGGACACCCGCAACGGAGGAGTTACGACTGCGTTGCCGACCTTTTAAGGGATTGGGATTTGGAGATTTAGGGATTGGGGGAGGAGAAGGATTGGGCCTCCGGTAACGTCACTCACACGGCGAAACACAACGCTGTGGTTGTTTCACGCCGGTCTTCTGTGAGGCCGTGGCATCACTTAGGTCGAGCCGACCCATTCTTGCCTAAGCATGCAAGCATGGCTCTCCCACGCTTATACCACGCCCTTCCAGAAAAGGGGCGTGAAACAACCATAGCGTTGTGTTTCGCCGTGTAATTACGGTTGCTGGAGACCCAATGCTTTATCCCCTCCTCCGATACCCCCAATCTCGAAATATTCAAATCCCTTAACTCCAAAAGGTCAGCAACGCACTCGTAACTCTTCAACTTGTGTCTAATTGCTTAACATCAAGCAGTTCGTGTACAACAGTACAGTATAAAACAGCTTGGCACGTGACATACCGGTGCAAGGAGTGTACAGGCGAGGTGAGTCGGGAGATCCTCTCTCTCGCTCGCAGCTGCCCCCCGCCCCCTCGCTGGCCCCGCCCCCCTCCCCGCTGGCCCCGCCCGCGAGAGTGTCGGACTCGCCCACGTTGTCACAACATCTGAAATAACATATGTTTTAACATATGTGAAATGTATATTATGATTATGAAGAAATTCTTTTGTATGGCGTAGGTTCGCAAACGACCATCCGTGAAAAGAAACTTACACAAAAAAAGAGAGATTTATAAAATAAGGGTGTATAATAATAATAATAAAGTATAAGTCGTATAATTAATCCTTAACAAAATCCATATTTATTGATATTAAACATGTTGTAAGGATCTTCAACCTTACTAATGTATTTAAATAAATAAAAAAGTAAATTATTTATGAATGAAAGAATGAGTTGTGTTCGACCGCTGTGCGTACCGCGCTGTGCTGAGACAGAGGTCGGAGTCCCTCTCGGAGAGGTTGAGGCTGGTGTCGCACTGCTCCGCCAGGGAGGGCGTCGTCACCTCCACGCGTGGACAATCCGCCCTATATGATCAAAGAATTGAATCGTTTAAAACATACTTTCACAATGGCGACATCTATCGACGGATACTGTCAAACATAAAACATAAAGTTTCAACATAGTTCGACTATAAACCGATAGATGGCGCGCTTAAAAAGTTCAGTATCTAGCATACAGGCTATACAAGTTACTAACTAGTACCAGAAAACTACAAAAGTTACTACTAGTAAGGACCATTCTTACTTGATCTCGTGTGCGCTCGTCTCTGTATCGGTGGGGAGCTCCTCGAAGTTGGCTGGTATCGTGTTCTCTACTTTTGACTCCTGAGGAGTTGGCAGCTCTGGGCTTAGAGCTGATGATGTGTCGTTCTGTAAAATAGATTAGAAAAAATAAATACAGAGAAATAAGAAAAAAGACTTAAGACCTTTGTGATTTAATATCTATTCAGATACAGCTTTAAGAAAATATCAAAATAAAAGTCTGTTAAGTCGTGATAGCTTGGAGGTTGACATTTCTCATGGCAAGTACCAATGTGACTAATCGAGTTTAAAGGTAGGTAGTGTAGGATATGGTAAGAAGTGAAGGGTAGGGTTGGTAGGGTAGAGCAGGTAAGGTAAGGGCAAATGTAGTCAAAAGACGGGAGCGAAGCCGCGGGTAAGAGCTAGTATAATATAAAATCGCCAATGATGGGACAAACAGGGTTATGAATGCTCAAGCCTTCTGTTGTAAGGTTCCATGGTGTACTCACTTGGTCTGTCCGCGAGTGGTCCGCGTCATTGTCCAGCTCGCCCGCCGGCTGTGTCGTCGACTCGCACTCGTCTGTAAAAACATTACGAAACAAATATTTAATAAAGTCTGCATTTTAGTGCAATTGTATTTTAGAACATGGAAAATCAAAGTGAAATTACAAGTTTTGCAAAGGGTAGTAGCAGAGCGAGATAGTATTTGTAGGGTAGCGCTGATTGCTCGCCCTTAAAAGAAGTCTTGTACCGTCTACGCAGAGAGGTTTACATAGCATTTCTTCAAGTGCGCTGGATGTTTTCATTTCATAATGGATCACAGGTTTTCCCTTACATATCAAGGTGTTACTTTATTTTCGCAATTCAGTTAACTTTACCTACGAGTACTAAACCTAAATATTATAAATACGAAAGTTTTTAAATACGGATGGATGTTAGTTTGACTGCATGGTTGGCGCGTTGGCTGAGCAACTGGCTGTTGCGCAACGTGTCGCGTGTTCGATTCCCGCACGGAACAACTCTTTGTGTGATCCACACATTGTTGTTTCGGGTCTGGGTGTGATGTGTATGTTTGTAAACGGACCCACGACACAGGAGAAAATCCTTATGTAGGGCAACGTTTTTTTTTTAAAGGAAAAGGTAAAAGGAAAGTTACTGTTTCACGTAAAAAGCTATTGAATATAGTATGAAGAATAGCATAGATATTGACTGTAGTCTACCAACAACACATTGGCAACTTTTCTTGTGAATATTAGCAAATCCGCTTGCAGAAGGTACTTTTACAAATTGGTGTTTTTTTTTGTGAGGGGAAAATTATCAATTAACTTCTCCCGCCCAGGGCCGGGCGGGAGGGAGTATCAGACTCTTACTGACTAAAAACCCCCCTGTTCCTTCACCTGCTCTGTGCCGAGATAGCGGTGCCACAACCCGCAACTCCGGCTGAACATATTGGTGTAGTTTTGACTTACTGACCATCTATTCTGATAATACTTAGTGTATACTAAACTACCTGAGACATCCTCCTCGGGTATGGCGCGCGCGTGTTTGTCGTGCGCGCGACGTCGCACCAGCTCGGCGATGACGCCGTGCAGCTCAGCAAGTCGCGCGTCGTGCGCCCGGGCCGCCGTCGCCGCGCGCTGTCGCTCTGCCGCTAGTGCTCGCGCTAGCGCGTCACGTTCCGCGCGCAGCGACGCCACGTCCTCGCGACCCGAGCTTTGTCCCGCCACCTGTTGGCACATATAAAAAATACGTTTAGAGTTAGTTCGAATGTTTATCAATAGATGGCGCGCTTACAATACCAAGTAAATTGGAAACTAGTACAAAATCTAGACGTACAAGTTAGTGTTGGGATGTAGCCCGCCAAGTTTGATCACAAAGCTTGGTAGGTGCATATATTTCGTTCCGTATTATGCACAGCTGTAATTCAAACCCCGCCACCACCGATATGAAGTTTTTCGCGACGTACCGTCATAGTGAGCGTATGCGGCGCAGAGTTGTTGGGCGCGGGTGGCGCGGTCACCGGCCGCAAGCTGGAGTAGCGCCACGATGACTCGCGAGAGATTTCCTCATCAGGCACGTTGGGGCAGCACAGATACCAGCTGCGACTACGGCGCACGCCACTAGCGCTATCTAGTTGCGACAGCGGCAATCTGCCCACAACTTCGAGTTCCGCTAATAACGGTTCTTTTTCCTTCGGCTCGGGCATTGGAAACGTGCCCGCTGTGGAATACGTGTCCTCTTTGCGGGAGTATTCAGGGAGACTATGCTGGCGCCCTCTATCACGGAGCGGTGGTACTTCCCGTACGGCACCATCGTCAGCTACTTCACAAGCTGCGACATATTCACTGAGCGCTGTGGGCGGAGACTGCGCGGGCGCGGGCTCGTTGCGTTTCAGTCGCTCGAGGTCCGCGTAGTAGTACGCGGTGGAGCGGGGCGGCTCCTCGCACACCACCGCCCTCCCTGCCACCGTTTGTATCTTCATGACACTAGATGGCGCTGAATTGTATTTGTATCTTCATCTCGATAGATGGCGTTGTTTACTGCTTACATCTTGTGTCTGTGCGGACAAAGTGTCATGTCAGAGTATGCCGACTATAGTGTCGAGCTGGTCGTGTGGTAGCGAGCTTCGGTGTTCATCATACTTGTAGCAATGAGGTGTTTCATTTACAAAAAAAAACGTTCGACTGACGATTTTATTATTAGCTTAATAGTTAACAGTTTTTAAATCAGATGAAAACGCATACGATATATGCCAAATTGCGGAAATTTCCATAATTATTCAAAAGTGTCGTATTTACAGAGAAATGACAGAAAGAAAAATGTATGAAAAGACTATCGAAACATCCACGTTAAGTCACAAAATCATTATAATTTTCCTCCCTAATTGCCTGATTGCCTATCAACGTTTCTCGACGGTGGGACCGCCCCATATTCCCGATAACATCAGAGCATGTTACTACCATTTCTCGCCGATATTGGCAGTTAATTTATCGTGACGATGATGTCTCCATCATCAGTATATACTTAGTCGGGTCATAAGTTCTGTCACAAACTTTTGATGTAATAACTTATACGCCTTTTGACAATTATTTAAAAATTATATATGAAATGAAAGGTCATTAAATGTACAATATAATTTTATTTACATTATTCGAAATGCCCTCCCCCATTTTGAACACATGCCCTTAATCTACGCGGCCAGTCATCGATCGCTGCACGCACCACATTCATATCTATGTCTGCCGCTGCTTTAACCAGAGATGCTCGGAGAGACTCCAAATTCGGGTGAGGTTTAGCACAGACTTTTTCCTCCAAATATTGCCATATCTTGTAGTCCAGTGGGTTTAAATCTGGACTAGAAGAGGGCCAGTCTTCATGCCGGATGAAGTCAATTCCACGAGCGATCAACCAGTCTTGCGTACTTCGTGCCTTATGAGCCGGTGCAGAGTCCTGTTGGAATATCCAATGCCTGTTCCTGAACATTGTCTGAGAAAGAGGTTCCACTATGTTTGTTAGGACAGTATTTTGATAAACTTCGGCACTAGTTCTCACACCTTTTTCACAGAAAAACACCTCAGTTACGCCTGAATATGAGACTCCAAGCCAAACCATGAATGAGGAAGGGTAATGCCCACGCTGGACCCTCGCAATACGCGCGCTTGCTTCTTCACTGCTGTGGGCATACACCTTATCATTTTGTTTGTTAAAACTTTCTTCAATAGTAAAAATTTTTTTATCCGAAAAAAGAATTTCGCGGTATTTTTTTCCCGCGTACCGTCGTAGCAAAGCGCGGGATCTGTCTAGCCTAATTTTTTTTAAACGCTCGTTCAAAAAATGTCCTGTCTTTTTACGATAAGCTCGTAGTCCCAGGTCTTCATTTAGTACTCTTTTAACAGTGGTTCTGCTTAGCCCCATCTGCAGAGCTAGGATTTTTTGTTTACGTACGGGATTTCGTTCGATTCGCGCCTTCACTGCTTTGATGACCTTATGTGTCCGAACTGTGCGAGGTCGGCCGCTTCTCTTACGATCTTCGAAGCTTGACTCTTCGGTGTATCGTTTGATAGTACGATAAACAAACCGTAACGTTATTTTCAAATTTTGAAGAATATTGAAAATGTCTTTTGGCGCGTAACCACAGCGGTGCAACGCGATAACCGCGATTCTGTCTTCTTTATTCGACCACTCCATATTTAAAAATGAATAAAAAATAATTTCTTTTTTATTTTCTACAAGCGCGAAAGTTCTATTTTTAAAATAAGTCGAAGAATTTCTGGCCAGTAATCGAAAATTAAAAATATAAGGTTTTGACAGAACTTATGACCCGACTAAGTATATTCGATGGTTAATGACAAGAGACGTTAGCGGTGTAATCACCTGGTCATTACGTTTTTTTTTTTTTTGTAATAGGTCGGCAAACGAGCAGACGGATTACCTGATGGTAAGCAATCAGCGCTGCCCATTGACAACCCGCAACAGAGGAGTTAAGGGAGGGGAAGGATTGGGCTTACGGTAACCTCACTCACACGGCGAAACACAACGCTGTGATTTTTTTACGTCGGTTTTCTGTGAGGCCGTGGTATCACTCCAGTCGAGCTGACCCCTTCGTGTCGAAGCTTGGCTCTCCCACACTTATTCTTGCCAATTCTTTAAAATATCGTGGTTGCGGGTGTCCACAATGGCTTAACATCCGTCGTTGCCGTAATCCGCCGACTCGTTTGCCGACTTATCACATAAAAAAGAGATGGGGAAGGGATTGGGCCTCCGGCATACATAATTTCTCAATGGCCTCCGGTAACCTCAATTACACGGCTAAACATATGCATGAGAAGTCTTAACCTCCGAGTTACTACCACATCAATTTACTTACGCATCTATAGAAGACTAGCTACTCTCGCGCGGTTTCACTCGCTGCTCAGCTCCTTTTTATCGTAGCGTGATTATTTATAGCCTACAGCACTCAGGAACATTGTAGCTATCTATCAGTGAAAGAATTTTAGCAATAAGAGAAAGAATAAGAATATTAGCGACAAGCGGTTCCAAATATTACCCCCTACATACAAACTTACAAATTTTACCTCTTTATAATATTAGTATAGATCACATTCATAGAGAAATTTAGTATAAGCATTAAACCCGTGCGAAGCAGGGGCGGGTCGCTAGTATAGGTACACTAAACTGGAAGAACAACAATCAGTCAAATAGTTTGCTGTAATCTGTCTGTCTGTTTATATTTATCTAATGTCCGGGGCCAAGGCCGTTATGTAGTGTATATTGATAAATTCTATATATAAATATGCCCCTTTTCTATACTTCTATACTAATATTATAAAGAGTTAAAATTTGTCAGTTTGTATGTAGGGGGTAATCTTTGGAACCGCTGGTCGGATTGCTAAAATTCTTTCACTGATAGACAGCTACAATGTTCCTGAGTGCTATAATTATAGGCTATAAATTATAGCCTGCGTTGCGGGGTAAGCGCAATGAGGCACCGCGACCTCGGCCCAGAGCAGGAGAAGGAACAGGGGGGTTTTTAGTCAGTAAGAGTCTGACACTCCCTCTCGCTCGGCCCTGGGCGGGAGAAGTCATTTGATGATTTGCCCCTCACAAAAAAAGGCTATAAATTATACTTGATTTGAGTAATCAAGTAATAAATATAAACCTTCCTCTTCAATCACTCTGTCTATTAAAAAACCGCATCGAAATCCGTTGCGTAGTTTTAAAGGTTTAAGCGTACATAGGGATATAGGGACAGAGAAAGCGACTTTGTTTTATATTATACTATTTAGTGATTCGCGTAGGATCCAATATTAACTGAATAAGTTTTGTTTTCTTTATTTGTTGCTAATGGGTTTCTTGTTGTTGTCGTTTATGATATGACGTAACTGAATACCGGCGTGAAGTTACTACGCCTTTTTTTCAGAAGGGAGAATCGATCAACGACTTGAATCTGGCCATTGGGTCTTTAAGTCGCGCGCGGAACGCTACGCGCCGTACGCTCGGGCCTGGTTCTGGTCGGGCGGCGAGCTGCCCTTACTCGCCGACCGCAGGCCCGTGCTTACGGTGGCCGGAGATCGTCCCTTGATACGCAACGCCCGTAATGTAGCCAGTTGCGGCGGCTGGGGCGTGAGGAGGAGGATTGCTCCTCTCTCTTTGCGAGCATGACGGCTTTACAAAAGGAGGAGGCGGCGTCCCAGTTCCTCTCACTCGGCACCATGGCCTCGACTAAGGCCGGGGAATATGGCCCTGTAAGGTATAGAACTGAGTGTCTGACTCTTACTGACTAAAAACCCCCTCAACCCTCCTCCTGCTTAAGGCCGAGCCCGCGGTACCTACACGATTGCGCTTACACCCGACTTAAACTACAATGTTATGTTTCGCCGTGATAGCGGAAGTTACTGAAGGGCGAAATCTTACCCCCTATCACCAATCCCCAATCTTTAAGCAACACACTTGTATACGGCCTTAAAAACCTCTTAAACTAATTTACACATAAGATGTGTGTCACCACCGCCACTCTTCACGCGGGTGTTAAGGGAGTCCCATCTAAGGGACAACACGCTCTCTTATAAGCCTTTGAAACTACAATCAACTTAGGGCACGACCTTACTACGTATACAATAAGGTTGAAAATAATAACACACACAATACTGAACATACACAGAAAGACACTCTATACCTATATACATATTTATTTATTTTTATTTAATAATTTATGTACACACAAACAGCACAGAGGAAAATACATAAAAAAAATAAGAGTACAAAGGTGCTACTTATTCCTGTTGGAATTTCTTCCAGTAGACCTGAGACAGGAAATGTAATTAAAATATAAGACACAGTGTGTAACAAAAGTGAAAAAAAAAAGAACTAACGATAACAAATAGGTAATATATGTATATATATATCATATAAATATAAATACTTAATATATAATAATAACAATAAATAAGATACACATATAAATAAACGTAACTGTAAGTACTCATGAAGAAAGGTAATGGTCCTTAACTAGTTTTTTGAAGAGAGCGAGCGATTTAGCGTCACGAATGTTAGGCGGGAGAGAATTCCACAGTCTCACAGCATAAACGGTGAAAGAATAGGAGAAGAAGTCGGTATTATGAGGCACGATTTTAAGGTTGGACTTGAGATGAGAACGAGTTAGGACTTCAGGAGGACGCACCAAGGAGAAACGGTCACGGAGGTAAGCGGGATAAGTTGGATTGTAGAGGGAATTGTAGAGGAGACATAAAATACGAGTGTTCCTGCGAAGACGGATAGGGAGCCACTTGAGCCTATTGCGGAATTCGGAGACATGATCATACTTCTTAAGACCGAATACAAAGCGGATACATAGATTTTGCAATCGCTCAAGTTTATTTAATAGCTCCTCAGTGGCATCCAGATAGCAAGCATCTGCATAGTCCATCAGAGGCATGATCAGCGCTTGGACAAGGTAAATCTTTGTTTTCACAGGCAGCAGGGTCTGGAGGCGCCTCAGCGAATGAATAGAAAAATGAACCTTCCGACTGACTTCATTCACCTGGGCATCCCACGATA